ATTAAACTCTTTTTATATTTTTTATGTTTGTCAGAATTGTTGGCTGGATCGGCTGAAAAAATTAAATTGCTGAAAGGAAAAAATAAAGAACTGGAGAAACGTCTTTCGGAGAAAGACCAGCAGATCAAAAACCTGGAGCTCAAATGCAAACACACTCTGTCTCCAATGAGGGGCCAGTCTATGCATGGCTCCAGACCCTCACTAAATGGGTCCAAACAAGGTAACCAGCTACCCCAGTGCAACACCCAGAACCCAGCAACCTCATCTACAAGCAGCCACCCAGAACCTGACAACAAACCAGAGGTGAAAGAGTCCACACCAGCCGTCCCCAAACAAAACCCGACACCTGTTCCCCAGAAGAAGCCAGAACCCAAGAGTACGTCTGCTCCTATGACAAATGGTGCTGCATCTGAAGGAACTAAGCATCACCGTTCTTGCAGTTTTTCTGCTTCTCGCTCCAACAGTGTCAGATTTCCACCTAGATTTTCCATGCCCAACCGTTTTAGTGTCCTTGAAGATGAAGACGCAGAGTCGCAGAGTTTGATTGAGTGAAACCCCGAGCCACGGTCAGACCACCAATTTAGAGATGAMATTTTTGTTAACGTGTGTGAGATCTCTCATCAAATTTGAACCAAATTTCACAAAGTTGGTTTAAAATTGGTCTTTTAGTGTGATTTTTAATAAAATCTGCATTTTTATGTCACCAGATTATCAATCCCAGCCCGGTTAGATTCAGTATTAAACAGCTGCTTTGGGAAATCTTTCCGAGTTCTAACAAGTCAAACAAGTCAGCCCCAAGCAGGGGGCCCTTGCCTTAGGCTAGTTGCCAAGGGACGATTTTTAYTGGTGCAGTTTTCTAAATCTCACTGCCTATTGTATGTCAATTTTGTATTGACATATTTTGTCCAGTTAAAACAGTTAACCAATACATATTGAATCTCAGAGGTTTACATTATAATGAGAGACACATACCAATGTTAACAAGCAGCTGTGGRGTGAAGCAGTCCTAGGGGGGTCCAGGAGCATACCTGGAAATTTAAAAATAGTACAAAACTCTACTCAAAACTATACATTTCCTGGTCATCTGAAGACCATTTTACTACAGTCATAATATTAATGAAACAACCTAAAATCAATGTATTTTCAAGGTAAAACAGTGAACACTAGTCTTTACCTGCATGAACTTTATCTGAAAATTGCATTACCCTTAGTTTTTACCTGAACACGGCTGTGAGCCTATTCTCTTAAAGGAGACATATCATGCAAATTACATTTTTTTAGCTGCTAAATACATTTTGTTGTGTAATTTGAGTCTCTAGAGGTACAGAAAAGTTGAATTTACTCTCTCCTGGTGCTGCTTAGATAACTTTTTATTCTGTTTGGGTCATATTTTTCAAGCCGTTCAGTTTTCTCTATTTTTTGTGATGTTTTCTGAACTATTGTGTCAAATTAGACTTCCCAACTACAGTTTGGTCTTCCTTCTCCTCTGGCTCTGGGTCAGACTTTGGCTTCAACATGTAAGGCTGGATGGACAAGTCTTCCCTTGTTAACATCTTTAAATKAAATTGTAATTAAAACGTTTCTGTATCAAACTGAAATGAATCAGTCTGGGAGCTGGAGAGGGGCGGGGCTTGAAGCGCCTTAAAGCAACAGCATCAAAATGAGTTGATCTGAGACACACCTCAGAAAAGGAGTGGAAAAGGGCTGATAAAGTACAGACCAAAGCATTGCAGTTCCACTTAATATAGACCCCAACTGAATGATTTAAATGTGAAAAAGGATTTAAAATCATGATATTTCTCCTTTATGAGGTCTAAAATTGCCACTGTTGCTAAAGCTCGAAAGGAAAATGTACATATTCTGATAAATATGTAAACCAAGTGATGGTCTTGTTCAGGTTGTCTGTTTTAATTTCTGCTTGCTCTGTCTGTGCTGAGTCGTGGTTATGGTCAGGTGTTAGACGTCAAAGTTTACTCTGGCTGCTGGAACAGTCCAGTCAACCTCAGTGACAGTTCAGCGAGGGTTCGAATGATCCTTGCTGCTTCACAACCATCTATCTACTGTACTGTTTTGTTTGCTCCAAAGAGACATAWTTATTGTTACATTTTTATGTTTATCTGCACTTTCTGAATAGCTGTGGGGTCAAACTTTTTTTTTTCCAAAGCAACTCTGAGGGCTTTAATGAAAACAGTGGACAACAAACAGCGAATGCAGAACTGTTTGGAACAACGCTGAACATTTCCACATGAACTGGGCTTAAACAAAGCGACACGTCCAAAGGCTTGAGAGCTGACGTCCACGAGCATAAAGAAGCGGTGCATATAGATAAACAAACAAACACAAACAAACAGAAAGAGGAGCGCAAAATCTGAACTTCATCTAGGATTTATTGGTTGGGGGGCATATCTTCTTTGAATAGCATGCAGTTATCATGCCTAATTATGCTTTTTAATGAACATCCTGAATGTCAGAAATTTAAGACTTGCTACATCCCAGATTATTTTTTTATTTCACATTTTAATCATAGTTTGATTAGGCTGTAAATGTGGTTTTCGTCCTGGTCGTGGAACAGCGGACCAGCTCTACACCCTCAGCAGGGTCATGGAGGGTGCATGGGAGTTCAACCAGTCTACATGTGTTTTGTGGTCTTGGGGAAGGCGTTCGACCGTGTCCCTCAGAGACTCCTGTGGGGAGTACTCAGGGAGTATGGGGTACCAGGCCCATTGACACGGGCTGTTAGGTCCTTGTATGTCTGGTGCCAGAGCTTGGTCCGCATTGCCGGTAGTAAGTCGGACTTGTTTCCGGTGGGAGTTGGACTCCACCAAGGTTACCCTTTGTCACTGATTCTGTTTATAACTTTTATGGACCGAATTTCTAGATGCAGCCAAGGTGTTGAGGGGATCCTTTTTTGTGACCTTAGGATCTCTGCATTTCACAGATGATGTTGTCCTATTGGCTTCATCAGATCGTGATCTCCAGCTCTCACTGGAGCGGTTCACAGCCGAGTGTGAAGCAGCCGAGATGAGGATCAGTGCCTCCAAATCCGAGACCATGGTCTTGAGCCAGAAAACGGTAGCGTGCCACCTCAGGGTCAGGGAGGAGGTCCTGCCCCAAGTGGAGGAGTTTAAAGGAGACCAATTATGAGTCCTAGAAATTTTTGTGGTATGTCTGTGGGCTATCCAGACCATGTTCATTCAATTTAATGCACAAAATAATTCTCAGATAATAAAATTTCCCATTTTCTAGTTCTGCCTGCTCTGACTTCCGTTCAGAAGAGCTGTTTATGTTAATGAGCTCTGTTGGTAACACCCTCCAAAAATATGTTGACATTAACTCCGCCCTCCAAAGCCAGCGTTTACGTTAGCATGGCTAATAAT